TACCCCATATTCTTGATTCTTTCACTTTCGTCAAACTTACCATTGAATTTCAGTTCATTGGTTGACCTTATTTTCAAGATGTCGCACCAAAGACCAAAGGGCGCCAAATGATTGATCGGTACGTAATTTGCAAATTTACGCGTCCCCTTTAGAAAATCTTCTGTGTATAATCAAATAATATGGTGATTATGTGTTCAAAATTTTCCATTAGAAAAAAAAAAAGAAATAAATAAAACGTCCTTGAATTAAATTAAAAAAAAAACATTAGTATATACTATATTGGTTTAGGAAATCATGATTATTGCAAATCCATGCTTCATGTGTAACGACCCAATCTTGATGACTTTCGAGGTAGCTCCTTTGACTGTTGGTGCATCTAACGAATAATAAAATCTTGCAAGTGCATCATTCCACGTTCGCTTTGCAATATTCAATTATTTGGGGGGTCAAATTTTCAATACTAATGTCCATGACTCAACCTCCCTTTTTGCCTCTTTTGTTTGAACTCTCCAACTAAATATTTTATATACTCTGTGTGTGTGTGTTGGTTCGAATTTGGCACTTTTGCACAAACCCATCATTGTTAACAAAAACTCCTTCAAAGAAGGCTTCAATCATTTGCCCAGTTGGACCAAAATCTTAGTTTAGGAATCTTGAGATTCATATATTATAATTTTTTTTGGATACGATATATTATAAGGTAACTAAGGGGATAATTTGCAGTTGTGGGCTTATTTTGTTAGTTTGTTGCAGGCTTGGCATGGAAATTTGTTTTGGTGGTGTCCACATCTCGATTGAGACTCGAATTCATACCCTCACCCATGTGAATCAATCTTTTTTTAATAAAATTTGTTTTCTTGATATTATGCCCATGTCTTACGATTTTGCAGACTTGATTTGTATTGATAGCTAGTATTGAATATCATTTGCCTAACACAAGACCTACCGATAAAATGAAAAATTCGCAAAACAGAGTAATAAATCGACTTTTTTAGCTCGGTTCAATATGTAGTTATCTTTGTGCAAGTTACCCGTATCAGTGCTTCATAAAGTATTTATATTAAACAAAGGAGAAAATGTTGGGTTTCCAGTTCTTTTGGATCATTCTTTCTCATCAGATTTCGATTCATTAGTCAGGAGTAGGGCTGCAAATGAACCAAGCAGCTCGCGAATGCTCGAGTCAAAGCTCGGCTCGAACGGCTCAAGCATGTCGAGTCGATCTCAAGCATTGGTTTTGGAAGGTCGAGCGGCTCGCGAGCTGCTCGAGATATATAGTGAATTACTAAAATACCCCTTATATAAAAATATTAAATATATGTACATTTAGTATAGATAGTGTAAGAAAATGGACTCGATAGAGAATTGAGATCGATTCCCAAGCAAACAAAGCTTCAATCCAAAATCCAAGATACAAGAGGGCAATAGTTTCATCACCATATTTGCAACAGGTCTCCTAGAAAAAGGTGGGAAAAACAAATTGTCGGTTCTGTCCAAAATAAATATAAATCGATCATTTCGAAAATCACAGGCTTGGAACCGACTTGGCTCGAATAAACTGTTTGAGAATGGCTTTCTCCTCATCGATCCGTGTTTTCTCTTCAGCATCTCTCGGTTTCACTTTCCTCTTCTCTTCCAGCATCCATTTGAACAGCTCGCGCTGCCGATCCTCCGGAACGGGTGCACGCGCAACAACCTCAGTGATTGGTTGACTGACTGGCTTTTCGCTGACTGTGGCTGTGGAAGTTGGAGTCGAGATGGTGGGACCCTCTGGGGTTTCTTCCTCTGATGTGTCCTTACCTTTCGTTCGGGTCCTTATGAGAACATAAGCTGCCCAAAGTGCATTATCCATTACAAGAGTTATTGATAACATGAAATAAAAAGAAGACAGTGGGAAGTTGAGGATTGTTCGATTATAAAAAGCAACGAAACAAAGAAACGTAAAGAGAACATGTGTTGAATAAAATCTCGAAAATTCGTGCAGTTGAGTATGAAACCTACTTATGTGTTATCCAAGTTTCTAATAGAGACTACGATAATGAAATAACTCGAAATAAGTGTTGCCATCAATTCGATAATAATAATCTATAGGACAATAAATCCAAAAAAATGCTAAGAGAATTTTCTGAAAAAAACTGAAATCAAAAGCATTATCTGAAGAACCTTTCTTTGGAGTGGAAAGAAAAATGCAAAGCCAGAATCAGACAAGTAGAGAGGATAAAAGTTGTTTTGCTAGTGACAATTTTGTTAGTAGCCTTCACAAGCGAGCATAACTTCCATCTAGCAATACAATAAGTACGAAGCAAGGGCTCAAAATAGAGAAGATAAATAAACATAGCAAGTGAAAATTATCAAATCAACTGAGATGCTGATACTAAAGTCCATCCTTAAAAGTTAAAACCCTTATCACACACATTGAATCTGTCAACAAGTCCATATGAACCTATCCTCTTGTTGTTTTACAATGATAAGAGACAGAAGACATAGCATTTTACGCTGCTACTGTTACAAAACACAAGCAGGTGCTGTAGTCCTATTCAAACATAACAAAAAGCAAATTTTAGAAGATATTGCTAGGTACATTTTGACTCTCCAAATGCAAATCTTTTTCGACGAGGATAAATAGAATTGTCTTACTCACTGCAAGTGAGCAAAGTAAAGATATTTGATTAGATAACACGGGTATAGCATATCCTTTCATCTTCTAATGAAAAGAATAATCATTATCATGTCTTGTAAGCTGAGATGAATTCTCCATCAAGGAGAAAGAATATCACTATATCAGCAGCTCTAAGATGGAGACATATCAAATTCATTCCGAACCAATAAGAGAAACCTCAGGGATTAGGTAAGATACCAATTTAAGATAGAGATATCCCACATTCATTTTGTACAAATTTAAGGTAAACCTCTGCAATAGGTCCATTTAACACACAACATTAAGGAAGAAAATGGATGGATAGTGGTGATTGAACAGAATACAAGCAGATTTCAGACTTTCCATGGAATAGAATGAGAAATGTATAACGTGGATCCTCACTCCTCATTCTCAAGTCTCAACTGGTCCAGAAATTTGCACCGTTCACCTACTAAATGAAGAGTATGAATAATTTATTAATGTTCTTACTAGTAGACATGATCTTCATTTCTTGTAAATTCCTCACTTATCCCCACAATCAACAGAAGAACACACGGGCAAAAACAGCAAGGATAGACCCAGAAAGTCCATATAATAATTAGATGATTAGATGTCTGCAATGATTCGATTTCATTTCAAAATTCCCAATTCCAAACAAGCTACAGTCCAGAATTCAGCATACAAATACATAACCCTAAACGAAGCCGGCAACATAAATTTCAAGAAAAAAAAAAACAAACAAATACCTCCGATCGAGAAGTTGACAACCAATAGCATTGGCCAGAGAAACCTGTAGCGCCGAATAAACGACTCTTTCTGCGGCCGGGGAGCAAATGGCGGCGGCGGCGGCGGTGGAGGAGGCGGAGCCGCCGCCTCCGCAGCTGCAGCTGACGAAGCTGACGCCATTGTGATCGGCGTAGATGCCTTCAGCTTCGCTGTTATAGACAAAATATCGACAGCAACAATCAGATTACAGTAACAAAATTCTGATTAATCTCTGAATCACGCAATCCAGTAAAAACATATGCTCGTACTGCGTACAGTACGTATCTCAAAGCTGAAAAGGGGAAAAAGTAAAAATAGTTCGATAATTTTTGGCAATTGAACATTTTTTCGGCTTGTTGGTCAATAGCTTTGGTCCTTCCCCGCTCACTGTTGAATCTTCTCCTTCTCCTATGATTCTTCTTCTTCTCATTCTTCTTCTTAGATTGTTTATCACTTTTATCTGGATTTCTTCAGGTGTAGTGTGTGTAAGTCGCCTCCGATTTTCGTTGAACTTTTGGTGTTCGTTTCAATTATATTCTTTTCGTGGGTTTTGGGATGGGTTTTTACAACGACACGGCGTCGTTTTCCGATTGTTGAAATTTAATTCGAGTATTATGCTACACCAAATCGCAAAAGTATAATGCACCAATATTTGTGTTCCTGGTCCTACTGTTCACTTTTCACAAACCAATTGTACAATAGCCAATAATTGATAATGTTGAATCACAAATTCTATCGGGACAGATGGTGGATTCAGTTTAAATAACAAATTTATAAATTTATTTTATGAAATATATCATACTTTCACTTAAGTTAAAACACATTAATTTTACATTGTTTTTTATGTATGATGTGTATGTCAATTTATTAAAAAAAATATATATATATACACCAATCTAATGATTGGATTCGTCCCTGTTGAAGATGAATTAAAAGTGAATTTGAAATTAAATTACTGTTACACTATAGAAAAATGCTACATTCTAACAATTTACTTTATGGTTATACTAGAAATTAAACCATTGCAATTTATTGACTGGAAAATGAGATTTTATGAATATTTCTAACGATTATTTTCGGATATTGGATCTCCAGGATAGTACTTGTCAAGGATTAACCTAATAATAGGTAGAATTATTGAATTGGCTTCCAACAGAGAGTTGTGGATATAATATAATAGTAGTACTATCAAAAGGCTAAAATGACAGTGACAACACTTTTTTCAATAGGCATAAAATACGATAATACTAATCATGATCAACAAGACGTGAAATAAGAAACTGAAAATAGCTTCATCTTAGCTCTCCTTAACACGAAAAGTTTTCCAAATAATGTTACACGAGGAAGACCGAGTTGTTTACAGGCATAATCATTTGCAAACAGATGAGTCTTCTTGAACGACCTAAAAAAATAGCAACTTCACGAGCTCATGAGTTTATAAGCAATCTTCCTCAGTTCCATGAACGGCCGCTATTGCTACCATAACCTCGTCCACGATCTCTACCACCAAAGGCTGTATTAATCATGAGATAGGAAACACACGGTTAGGAACAAAAGTATTACATAAAAATCAATGGACTTATTTGAAAAGCTACCCAAGGAAGCTTATGAGATGAGCTCGAGCTTTTTCAAAAAAGTTCATCCTACCAAATCAAGCTTATTTGCATACAAGAAGATTAATAAGCTAATCAAATAAGCTATAAACTAGTTTATATGCTTATCAAACACAGCCTTAAGGTGCACATTGTCCTAAAAAAGGGATGTCAGCCAAACGATCCCAATTATTGCAGGGAAATCAAACACTAGATCATCTATTGTTTTTGGAGTAGCAATATCCCTTCTTTGGATCACAATTTGTACATAACAAACAATGTCAAGGAGGCTTTCATAATTTAAATTCAACAGAAGAGATATTTATTAATTAGGCAAAAGACTAGGTAGTTTTTTTGTAATTAAACCTAAGAAACCACGCCTCTTTGTTGTAGCATTTGAAGTTCGATAACCTCTGGATAAAGAATAACAGATTCGAGACTGTCAAAAATGTATCAAGTCATAGATTTTTATCAAAACAATCAAAACACATAAGGCTCAAAACCTGGTGGAGGAGGTGCCCCACGTCCCATAGCTGCCAGCTCGGGGCTGACCTTTTGTCCAGCCTCTTGTAGGATACTAATGAGGTCCTTTGCGAATCTAGCATTAGCGGCAGTGAAGAAAGTGTATGCAGTGCCTTTGGCGCCAGCTCTTCCTGTTCGACCGATGCGGTGAACATAATCCTCCAGAGATCCCGGAAAGTCATAATTGACGACATACTTCACATCTTTCACGTCTG